ACTAACGTCCACCTAGGCCTTGTGTTCCTCAAATAAAAAAAAAATAGATCATGTGCACTACCACTACGAGGGGGGGCTATTAATTAACGGGAGTGGACGCGTTGTGGGCGTATGTTTCGAGCAGCTGGAAGTGCATTCAAGGTGAGTAACGTTAAAGTGTTGGGAAGCAGACAGCACAAACCGGTTTAAAACAGACAAGCCGTCAGCTGACGAGACCTGCCGGGACGAGCGAGACGAGACAATCCGTGAAAAAGGGAGAGGATATGGCTAATATTAAAATCAAGCCGCGAATCAACGTCAAATTTCTTGTGAGACTGAAGAGACCAGAAAGTGAGTGTTTGTAACTGTTCTTGGAAGTGTACAGTGATAATACGCCGAGCCTTCAGAGGGCTCAGCTAAACCACCACGGCCACATCATCGGACTTGCCACCGCTCTTTGTCATCCAACAGGTGAGTTCACAGATATGGTGCAATTGTTTTCAAAATCTTGAAGCGTGCATTGTTTTTGAAACGAGCCCCAATGCGCTGTGTCGTTTGATGTCAAAATTTCGTAAACTTTTCCTGCTATTCTGCGGTGATATTGACAAAAAACAAAACAAAAAAAAAAACTCTGCCACAGGCGACAACTCTATACCTGGTTCAAGAACAGCCATATTCTCAAGAGCTTATCGTGCCCGACGTAAGGTTGATGAGAAAAAATCAAAGCCGGTTTCTACCTAAGGTCGTGAAGCGAGATCACAGAAATCCAAACGAGAACAAAAGCCCCGATTCAAAAGGTTATCGATGCACAGGAGAGCATTTTCACCGATATAGTATCGATTAAGAAAAGCGCGATCAACTAAGTGAGCGCATCGAGACCATGTTAATGCAGTTTCAGATCATTACAAATAAGCAGGGTCAAATGCAGGAGTTGTTGTACCACTCCAGGATGTCATTAAGGCTATTCATCGAGTCACCTGTTCTTAGCTGGAAAAGTTCGTTGTCCTGCGAGATAAGAGCCGTAGGAAAAACATTATTGTATTTGGCATTCCGGAACAAGAAAGATAAAGTCTGACGAAATAATTTTAAAAAAAGTGATACATAAAGTTTTTCGTGATCGCCTGGGCGTCGATGTACAATTTGTCGAACGTAACGTAAACATAAACTTAAAGCAAAAAAAAAAAAAAAAACTGGGCCAGGTATTATAAAATACTACGATTAAATTGAAAAGAGCGACGTGTTTAGAAGTTGTATAACACTTAAGCGAACAATATTTTTAGGGTTAAATGATTACTCATTAGACATTGCGCAAAGGAAAACCGCGCCAAAAACAATGCAATGGCGAAAAAAATAAATTGGACGCTAAAGAAAAATGTATGAATTTTTGGGGACAAATGGTGACACATACGAGTGGAATGATAAAAAATTGCCGTGCAGAAATAGGAGATTGTCCGTACTCAAAGTCTCTGTGTACGTGACTACGTAGAAACATTCTGACGTCATTTATTTGCTCTGATAGCCAACTGGTAGCTAGCGATAAAAAACGAAATCGCGATAAAAGAAATAAAAAAAGACGTAGTGGACACGCGAACTGTCAACTCTGAAAGGGTACTTCCTAAAAAGCGAAAAGCGTGCTGTTTTAAGCATAAATTGTCACAAAGCAAAAAACAAAAAAAAGAAACGAAGAAAGAAAAGATAGAACCGGTGTGGCGACCATTCAGGATTTAGATAATGTTGTTTTTCTCTTTTCTGTCGTGAAGATATTTCTGGCCGGTGATTTTAACCTCTAAGATGACAGGATAATGAAAGAAAAATGTATATGTATGTAAATGGCAATATCGAAGCTGTAAGGAAAGGACTGTCTGAATCTTTCGAGAATATCGAGCTTTTCGTTCTAGAAAACGGCATAAACTCTACATGGGACGTTTTTTTTTTTAGAAGTCGCTTGTTAAAATAAAGGAAAAAAAAATATGTTTTTTCTTTAAAATAATACGTGCAAAAGCAATGAATATTAAGGCCTGGATGGCAGCTTCCGTAAAAACAGTGAGAAAAAAGCGCAAACGCGGCTATCAAAATTATAAACAACACCCATCCATATCGGTAGCTGCAGGGCTCGATAAACTAAATGTAACCTACAAGAAAGCTGTTTTTTCTCCGAAGCGCGAGTATTTTGATATGTTTCCTAATGGCATTCGACTTTGTAGCAAAGCATTTTGAAAATACCTCAGAAATACACGTAAAGAGAACATGGAAGTTCCAAATATGGTATATCTTAAAGAAGTAATTGAAGGAAGTTACAAAATATCGAACTGTTTTAACACGTTCTTCCAGTCGCTTTGTGCCTCTAGCGTCAGAGCTCAGTCTTACGAAGCTCCGAATGAAAAGATTGTTAATTATATGCCTCCCGTCTTCATCCGTGTAGAAGGAATAAAGAATTGCTTAGATGAGCTTACTGTTACAAAGGCTGCAGGTCCGAATGGTTTGGCAACCAAAGTTCTGCGGTTGTGCGCGTTTGTAGTCTCCCGCTATTTAGAAATTATTTTTGTAAATTATAAGAACGAAGGGTACTCGGTCATGGAATATGTCGCGTGTTACGGCAATCCATAAGGACGGATCAAAACAAAATGTAGAGAAACATTACCCCATCTCACTAAGCTGCCTATGTAGCAAAATTTTATAGCATGTAGATTATACCAACGTTGTGAGACATTTCAATCCGAATAAATATATTTAATCTGCTGAACATGGTTTTAGAAGGAGCCATTGATGCTCCACACAGCTAATAAAGCTTTATAATTACTTGGTTTGAACGTTCGACGGGAGAGTAGAGACGCACGTCATCTTCCTTTATTTGCGCAAAACATTTGATGGAGTTAAGCACACCTTGCTGCTACACAAACTGAGCTCCCTTAACCTTAATAAAAACATATATCGTTGAATTGCTAACTCCTTTTTTGAAAGAAAGCAGTGTGTTCTCATATATAATGCAGGCTCAAATTTTGTTGATATTACTTCTGGCGTGTCACGGGGGCCGGTGCGGGGACGTCTTTTATTTTTGTATTTATTAGTGAGCTATCTTTGACCATCAATTCCTCCACAGGGCTGTTTGCGAACAATTGTGTTTTGCACAGCAGGGTAGGCAGTGTTGGTGAATCAGCTTTTTATAGTCGAGCCTAGATGAAATATCGGACAGGTGCAACTTTAGAGAGTAGGGCTTAAATTTGGAAAAGGGCGTGCAAGTCATATTTGGGAGTGAGCGAAACCCTGTCAAATCATACTTATTAATGGTCAGAAATTAAGTAATAACACTGATGTTAAATGTTCCTCGCATTACTTTGTCAATCACCCTTTTTTTAATGCTCATGTAAATCAAACTTCAAAACAAACAAGCCGGGCTTTAAATTTTCTGATTCGAAATTTATGCGGGGCTCTACAGAAACTGAAGGAGACTGGCTATTGCTGTTTGGTAAGACCTTCACTAAATATGCCTGTTTTTTGTAGGATCCGCATCATAAGTACCTTGTAGATAAGTTGAAAAAACTTTAAAACCGTGCCGCGAGGTTTGTAACAGGAAAATGTAATAGAAACAATAGCGTAACAGTGACTAAACGTTTACTTGGTTGGGAACCTTTATTTTTCAGACGCAAATATTTTTGACCGAGGTTATTACTCGCCATGTTTAGTGATCTGAGAGAGATTGGCAACAGGAACTATATAAATTGACCTAAATATGTTTGAAATCGTGCATATTACTATATTAAAGAAAGATAAGATAATATTTTTGTCAGAGAGATTATAAGAAACTTTTTTTTTACGCACAATTACTGAAAAGAGCTTCTTACCCGAGTTTGTTTGTATTCATGGCGGCGTAGGACCTTTTATCTCGGGAAGTGGCCGGACTTTTAGTGTTGTTATTTATGTTCAACGCTTATATATTTTCTTTATTGACTGCCCCTGCTGTATATTCAAGTGTCCTATTGTTTTTACTTTTGACTTTGAGCGTTTTTTATATATATATGGGCTGTACCTGCTATAATGTCAAAACTTCATCGCTTCAAGTTTTTTGTTTTAATAAATAATAGCGATGTCATGTAAGCGAGTGTTACTGGAAAATATCATCACATGTTAAGAGAGTGGATTTTTCAGTACGATACAGAAACCAAAAGGAAATCGATGCACTAGAAAACTCACGCGTCGCTAAGAAGTAAAAAGGAAAGAATGAGAAAGTAGAAAGCAGGTACAAGGCTAGCGGTTCCGGTAAGGCGCCCGCGCAATTTTTCCGTCTCTACTCTAGCTACAGCCCTGTACCTCCTCCACGAGTGGTAACTTTAGTGCACTGCTACGCTTCTCACGCGTCCAAAGTCTGTCTGAAAATTACTGCTTTAGTGGTTTTCGATGACGCTGAGCAAGTTTCTACTGGAAACTATTTGTCTATTTTCATTAAATAAAAAGTTAATGAACAAATTTCAAATAATATTTTCACTGATCGTTACAATTATCCCCCTATACTATGTCCCCCAGGCAGCATCACTCACCTGCGCAAACCGCATTATACTAGTTTTCATTTTTTTTTTTTAAATTCTGTTAAGCTTAAAAAAAACACCCTGTATAAGAAAGGGGGTGTGTTGATTGGAATAACTACTACATGTTGAGAATTTAATAATAAATTGACACCTTTTCTAGCAGTTTCGTTATTTAATAGTAACACCTTGGATTTGTTCCTAAAGAAAAAATATAGCTTGTCAACCACAAAAAAAACAAGATCAGTTTATTTTTTCGCCGATAATATATCTTTCACTGGGATATATTTCAAGGGTGTCCATATTCAATTATCCAATTCACGGCGCTTGAGTAGTCTAGCGCATAAGAGCGCGCGCACAGAAAGATGAAGGACAGCGCGTGACATGGAGCGTTTGACGCTGCTTGATGGGCCCCATAACTGGCCACATCGACTGCGCTCAAAGTTATGATAAAACCAAGTATAGACGAAACAAATTAATAAAAGGACAGGCCCAACTTACGCCTGACTAGCAGTTCGGTGTCCATGCGGTCTTCCCCGACGCTGTTGTTGGCGAGGCAGGTGTAGCGTCCCTGGTCCGACTCGACGGCCGAACGGAGTACCAGCAGACCCGGCAGGTGCACGGTGCCCGGTCGGGAGGCGACGGGCGTCAGGCCTCGCGACGATCGGCGGAACCAGCGCGTCGAGGGCGGAGGATGACCTCTCGCCAGGCACGGCACTTCGGCGTCTTCACCCGGAGACGTTTCCACGCTCGCCTGCGCCTTCAGGATCCTCGGCGCCGACTTCCCGCTCGGTTCTGAAACGAATGGTTTAACGATTACGTGTGACTGAAAGCTTCGAGTCGCGGGCGGCCACATTCCTATTACAACATACAAAAAAAAAGTCTCCAGACGCCTTCCGAGTCGTATTTCCTCCTCGTATGACGGTTCTCTCACACTCGTCGTACAATCAACTGTCTGCGCAGACATGTTGGAATCGTACCCATGTGTGAAGAAAACACGTTTAGGGCATTCCTGAGACGTGTCCAGAGACTGCCATCATGTCTGCCGACAGTGTTCTTTGTATAATATACGAGCTGGCTGACCGTGTGGCTCAGGAAACGTGGGACGCGGCGATATCCCAGTAACGTATCGTGGCTTCGCAGCCGGTAGAGTTTCTTAGGGAACCGTTTTCGCACAGCTGATGCGCTACGATGGGCCCTGCGGTACGAACTGCGTTTATGCTACCACCGCAGAAATCTCGCACATGCGCAGTTGGTACCGGAGGGCCCATCATACCATACCGGACCCCCCCCCCCTCTTTAAAAAAAAATAAAAGAAAAAAAGAAAAAAAAGCATTGCGGAGAAAAACGTGTGAACACACTAAGCCACGGTGTGCGGTTGTTAAGTTGTCGGGGACTACATTGCGACACGAAGTAAAAAGAGTGCACCGAAGTACAAATGCTGTGAAATGTTGTGGTCACTGCCAGCTTAAGAAGCACACGGCGTGACGAGTCCCTAGTAATCTATTAGAGTCCTACAGACACTGATATTACGGTACTATTCAATAAAAACCAGGTAAAAAACGAGTCACAAAGCAAGAAACGTACACATAGTAACCAGTGACTCACGTTTCATGAGGTGTCTGTGACAATACTCGGCGACAACTTTTCTTGGCAATGCAGTGGAAGGTACAGGCCCGCGTCCCCTCTCCCATTTTCAGTGTGCGTGGGCTCTCCTCCTCCCCCATTGCCGGAGAGAGGAGGAGAGCCCGCGCACACTCAAAATGGGAGAGGGGACGCGGGCCTGTACCTTCCACTGCATTGCCAAGAAAAGTTGTCGCCCAGTATAGAGTCCATTTTATGCACGGGAACAACCCAACAAAAGCGAGAGCTGCATATTGGTCTTTGTGAAATACTACATGAAAGAGGAGCGGGTTTTTTGTGAATAGCAACTTCAGTTTGTGCTCACCGAGATGTTAACTCACCAAAAATCGAGTCATAGGTATCGTTAATTCCATATTATTTGGTTACTAAGCTAAAGTATAAAGTACAAATAAACTTATTTTCCTTGTTTCAATCCGCGTAAGATACCGCTAAGGAAGAATTCAGAATATTTTTGTGGGCAAGAAGGAAGCATAAAAGTTCCAAGGGCATAAGCATTCGCGAGTCCTCTAGAACACTATGTACGACATTTGTACGATGTTGGTACGATGTTTGTACGATGTTTGTACGATGTTCTTAATCAGAACATACGATGTTCACAATTCTGTTGGCCATGAAACGAAATGTGCGCTTTTTCGCAGTAGTGTGACTAAATATATTCCTGCAACAACTTGTTTGTTTTGGGAATATATAAGGCAGCCAGTAACGTCGTACGTAATTATAACATGTATCATATGTGAGGTAATGGTATATGTCAAAGTGCAGACCTTCTTGCAATCTAGACATTGATCAATCTGTCCTCCACTGGTTTACGCACGCAGATCTCTCTAGACGTGATCCACATGCTGTGGGTACAAACAAATTTAATGTCACCTGCTCAATTTTGCACAAGTAATTGAGCTAGAATTGTAGATTAGCAGGATAGTTTCAGGCAGACTACTGTAACTTCATTTTGAGAGCCGGCCATCTGCACTGAACACAAATCTTCCTTCAAGACCTACTTTATACTCTCTGGGGGCTTTCTGAATCTACACACGAAACATATTCCGGTATTTTTTTCTTTATACATTTACTGAGTTAATGTTCGTATTGGAAGAAACGGAGGCTTTAAAAAGCTTATCGACTTTTTTTAGTCGCCCACTCTACATAGGATGATTTAAAATTCATCTTAAACACCGGCACAAAACATAACAAAAACGACCGTCTCGCTACAATCGCTTGATTAAAACTACTATTTCTGATTTTTAAACAAAACGAGTTGGAGGAGAAGGGGGGGATGTTGTTGAACAAGATTCTGACTTAAGCGCTAGAAATTCTCCTTCATGCGAAGTGAGCTCGTAACTTAATCAGGTAAAAGTACCTTCTCGCCCGTTTTTCGGCAAACTCGGTTAGCAGAGAAGATAAGTGACGACTGAAATCCAGATAAAACACTTTTCGTCTACGACGGCTGTAATCTGATTACATTTAACTAAGTGCGTTCCAAAAAGTGGCTCAGTAAAATTTAATCTTGTCTAAATATTTTATCTGTGTCAGCGTGCCCTCGCTAAAAGCAAACCATACCTTCTTAAAGTTTTGATGACTTTTTATGATATAAAGATTTATTTTAGGACCTTACAAAAGAGTGCGCCATCAGTCAAAATTTGCTGCCATTCAAATTAACAAATATGACTTCAAAGCAAAAGTCTGTAGGCTGCGTAATGGCTTGTTATTGCCAAGCGTTTTTTTTTTCTTTGTCATATTTGGAGAAGTAGTGGCCGGAAGGAGTTATATTCTGAAACCGAGAACGCTGCGTCATGCTGAGATTCTAAAAGTATTTATATTATAACAGATGAAATATCTCTTTATATCATTAAATAGGGAATTGAGACTCTTACTTAACAAATTTCGTTTTTTGTAGTTTGTGATTAGCGGTGCTCAATAGACCCTTTTCAAAATTCCACTCCAGCGACTGTCCGCCATTGCCGGCTCAAATATACTGAGCATCTATGGGACACGAGGCGTTCGGCAAGCACTCGGATCCAATCACGCGCTTTGTGAACAATGGATGGATGGATGTTCGATATTAATGGCTATACCTTTCGTAATGGGCGGTACCTTGCGCCACCTAGCCTAACCAAGCCATGTTGACCGCCAATGTTGCTAGATGAACTTTTGGTAAGGGTCTATTGACTACGATATTGTGGGCCAAAAATTCCTTCGTGGGGCTTGCATTGCAATGAGCTGTGGAGGAACACTGAACGCAGAAATAAAAGAAGCATCAAAGATATCGATTTAGAACTTATACTGAGCATTAGTTTTAGTGTCTCGGCATTTGAGCCTGTCCGAAGCATGGAGAGCACACCTGGATAAATTGTTCTAGAACGCGTAATAACGTTTCCGCAAAGTATTCACAATCCAATTGCTTGTTATAGCATCGAGAAGTGTGACCCTATTTTATAATCAGACTAAAAATTCCTCCAAACGGTCCACAATTTTTGCACATATTTATAATCCGCTCAGCCTCATGGCTATGTACCTCTGTACACCAAATGTGTAGCAATCATCATAGACAATCATGGGCGAAGTTCATAATTTAATTGCGGAAGAGATATATATTCTACGAACGACAGCAAAATACCCTCGCGCATACATTGCATCAGAGCACCCGGAGATGCAATCAGTGTGATCTCCAAGGAAGGTACGACAATAAAGTTATAAGTACACACTGTGTTTTCTCTGATAGATATAGTAATGCAAGGCGAACACATTTGCTATGTTAATTTATTTGTTTTTTTTTCATTCTGTATCTGAGCTTCATTATTCATCGCAATTCCCAATAGACATCCCTGATTTTTTCTTAGCATGTTCTTCTGTGAGACGAACATGCGGGAAATCTTCAGAGGCCCATATGAATTAAACAACTGAGTCGACCGTGCATTGCAAAAAAAGCAATAGTAAAGGGTTTCCTCGTAGCTGAGCTGACTGGCTGCCATAACTCTGTTTTTTGTTTTAAGCTGCCTAATTCGGTTAAGCCTATTGTCTCATTAAGCTAGTTGATAGCTCACCCAGTCTTTCCAATTTTTATATACCTTACGTTTATGTGCTTTTATACTATCCCTGTCATGACTAATGTAGAATGTTGTGCGGAAGGTTTCGATCATCGCTTTTCTATTGTATTTATTCTGCGTAGTTAAAACATATTTATGTTCTTATCTTAAAATAATTCCGGCTTGACGGCTGGCAGAAGCTTCGAAGAAATCCCAATTAAAAGTTGGAAATCTTGAGGCCGTTACATTTGTTGAAGTTGGAATGATTATATGATATAGTTGAATATTTCGTAGAGATAACATGCTACGAGCTTTAGAGCTTGTGATATTGACAAGTCATATTATATTTCTTTAAACAAATATTACAATTTTACTGGTATTCTCATTGTCCTTTGTGAGTTCTTGACTTCGTCCGCTGCGTCAAAACTTCAATATAAAAATAGCGTGATAACTTTTAAGGCTCATATATCTGGTTCTTATTTTGTGAGAGATGTTTCTAGAAACTATGTGCTTAATTGTAAATAAATTGTTGCTACTCATATATAATGGTGCTTACAATTTGTACGCGTTATTGTAACAGGTTTGGAAGAATATAAACTTTCTGCCTTCCTATTTCTGTTTTCGAAATGCGTAATTTTGTTATTATTTCTTCAACTTTACAGCTTCACTACACCCGCACCGCTGAGGTTGTCCTAAAGGGAAGCTAAAGAGAATTTTGAAAATGAAAATAATTTAATGGTTCATTCGAACCTGTTTGTGCCTGTTGAGTTCAATGATCACAACCATTTTACCCCAAATAATTACTCAACGTGCAAAAAAAAAAAAAAAAAAAGGCGAAGAACATGGAAGCGATCGCCGCAGCGGCACCCATTGGCTAGTTACGCGTGACGCGCCACTACGTCATGAGAGGAGCATCTCGATTCTCGCTTGCTCCGTCTCCTGCGGACGTAGTTGGACGACCAAAACTTCCACATCATTATAAGAAAACCTGAGACTTTCCATCTTTGAAAAACTTCTGCACCTGTATATCGGGTTCGGCTTTTGATTATTGGAGACCTTTCTGTGGGTCCTGAAAGGCCGTATGTCCGGGGCCGTAGGCCCTCGATGAGACAAGGTACACATTTCCGCCCTTGGACCTGCTTGCTCCAAAGGATAACCACGTAACATAGCCGTCTTCATACGCGTAGGAACGTACTGACTGCTACTTATTGTAACGAGAAAGGCTGACCATAAACGAAGCGCTGTTGACGGGACGCGCGAGGCCGTATTCGCGTCACTCTCCCCAAAACGGTCGTCAAAGGCCAGGAATTCGACACGCTTCGTGCTTGGCAACTGCTGGACACGTAACCGTGCAGACTGCATTGCTCACCAAGGACCAAGTGGTTTGTAGGGATAGTGTAACGAATTCTGGGTGTGGGTTAAAATGCCCCTCCAAGGGCGACGGGAAGGCTTCCCCTGACATGAAATGGGTGATAAGACAGGGTGGACTTTCTGCCACCGCGATGCCCTTGCGGGTTTAAACTTCAACGTTGGCTTCCCCAGCAACATAGACTTCGCTAATGCCTGAGCAGAAGGGCCATCTTTGTAATAGTTGTACCCTTCGCTACGCTGTATTTGTTTGCCACAAATGAGGGGGGGGGGGGGGGGGGAGCACGAAATTACAGCTTGAAAAAAAAGGGGATTGTGTGTCTGATGGTTCAATATTTCAAGTCGAATTCGTGAGAGCTTCGTGGGCCTCTACGATCACATACTTGTCGCAAGATTAGTGGGCTGCATTGCATTACCATCGTGCATTATCGTCCGTCCGATTGCATTTCTGAGGCACAAAGAACCATCCCAGGACATATGAGGGTACCACAAAGCGAGTACTTTTGCAGACAATTACGGGAACTGGGCAATCTTCACGTAATATTGTATGACTCTGGACAAACCTATTACGAAAAACACTGCGTAGATTCTAAAAAAAAAAAACGAATTGAAAACAAAACTCTACACACTTTTGTATTTACAGAAGCAATCCGGAAGAAAATAGGGAATATGAAAGTAAAATATAACAAAATATGTCTTTACGTTTAAAAACTTATGCGCCCTCAAACAAATATCAACAGCTACAAAAAAAAGACAAAAAGTCCAGGGTAGAACACGTTGCACCGTGGAATTCGCGTGATAAATTGCCAAAGCAGTTATTACCACATAAGTCTCCCACTCCCAAGTAACTTGTTAGAGGAGTAGGCTAAAAAAGAAAAACAATCTTAGGTAGCTAGATCGGCCCGGCAAATATCGACCCTTTAGTGATATAAGAAGAATGAAAACACTAATATCAGGAGGTTAACACAAAGTAATCAATTGAAGCCAGAGCATGGTGGGTATATGATCGCGGCTTTTCCAGTACATGGCACAGAACTAATGACGCAAAATCTTTTTTTAGGACGTTCGACTTATAATTACTACCTAGTTTCGTCCCCTCTTTGCGTGTGCCTTTTAATGCGCTGGACTGCCTTCGTAACTTCCTGACAAAGGAGGTCAGCAGAACGTCGGGTTCAGGCGAGTCTTCTTCAGACCCGTACGGACATGTTTTCCTAAGCACCGTCCGGAACGCGTTTCGTACCAAAAGCGTCTACTTGTTGGGCCCAACTTGTCCATATGCATAGCCAAACCCACCTCTCTGACATCTCGGTGTCGGAGTGAAAAGGACGGTATGTTACGGGAGGAATTGCGGCGAACGCTGTTCGAGCACGGAATTACGGCATCGTGCGATGGCCCGAGACAGTTGATTCGGTGCCACGAAAATTCCGCAAACCCCTGAACAAACAAGAAAACAATCAACAGGGTGGGCGATTGAGTCAGCGGCACGATCGGTTGACGGATAAAAGCAAGCGCTATGCAGAGCAGAGAGGCGACGGCTCCAAAAAGTCAGTAGGAGCAGCTAACAAGGCAAGTGCGGCCAGCCGCTTTGGTCAGCAGCGGCGGGGTCCTACAGCAGGTCCTTTCGTGACATCTACTGACGGGCTTCTTCCTTTCTTTCCTTTAAATCTGCCTCGGAGGGCCGTGGCTTCAGCACTACTTTCAAGGCGCTTTTCCGGTTAATCCGCTCGTAAAATGGCCACACGAATATGATGTTCGGGATGACTGGGGGCTAAAAATTATGGCCGAATGTTTATACTGCCCAGAACTTCGTGTGCCTCAAAGACCAATTTGTCTCCCAGCTGTAGATGAGACGTTTAGCCAGTGCAGTACAAACCCTTATACTGGGGTATTTTAACGTGCACCTCGCCGTAGTGATACACGACCGCAGGCAGGGACGATGCTCATTCAGGACGAAACGGGCAGGGATGGGGATTGAAACAGGGATCCCTAGGTTGTGCACTGCGAGGACTGCGGCTAGTTAACGAGGCTAGAGCGTTTTTTTTTCTATATATTTCTAAACACTTCAGCTTTTCTTTAAAGAAGAATGAGCAGCTAGAATAAGAAAAACGTTTCCTCACTCCTTTGTTTTCATCCAAGAAAGGAGACTCTTCTTTTTCGTGCGGGGAAGAGAGAGAGAAAATTGCGAGAGAAGGGAAAAACAAAAACAGAGAACAAGTTTTTGGGGTTTTTTTTTCTCTGACAGCAGGCGTTTTTGTAGGTCGACCTTCAAGGCAAATTTAGTGTAAAAGTTTTTTTTTTTTTTTAAGATTTTTACAATTCTATTTTTACCAGTTTTTCAACTTGCAACCACTAGAAAATACAGAACTGCTCGCATTCAAACCGCTACAACGCGAAATGTCATCGTACCTCCCATTCGATTTTCCTCGAACTCGCAGCGACATCAAAGCGCACCGACACCGGACTCTTTGTTCCTCTTTCAAGTGCACATAACAAAAACAAACAAAAAGAGTCTTCGAATGCGGACAGGACCTGAAGCCCTTATCCTGAACAGCGCGCAACGGTCCTTCGTTCCCGGCAGCTATTTCCGCTGTAGGGGGTTTTCCAGCCGACTGCTTCACGCTGACAAGACGTCGATGGCCTCCGAGGAAGCACCCTGGCACGACGACAAGGCTGCTCCAAAAACCGGTGCCCGATCAGGAAGGAAGTGAGGCTTCCCTTCGAGACGATGGCTCCCCGACGCCGTTTATCGCTTCGCTCTGACGTGGAGACACCCGCTTGGTCGCCCCCTCGGTCCCATGTCTCTCGAGACGAGGCTCAAAGCGTCCGGCTAAGGTGAATCTCAAAGGCGTCGACTCCGGTACGGAAACTTTCGTCGCTCACAGCTTGACTCGCGCAGGCCGTGGCGTGGACCTTATTCCCTATTCGGAGACAAGGATACTGCAGTATTAGCCGATAAGCGTAAACCTAAGAAACCACACACCCGTCTTTTTTTGAACTTTTGTAAATAAAAAATGCAGGCCAAGAACGTCTGTATGTTGTTGCTTCCTTACCGGTGATGAAGAGACTGCCGGCGCTGACGCTGGGTCGCACGTCACCGGTGAGCCGATGCTTGACGTGGCAGCGGAACCGGTGCCTGGTGTCCGAGGCGCCGGTCACACCGAACACGCATAGGTCTCCGTCCGAGGTCACGCGGTACTTGGTACTCGTTTCCGTGGCTGCAAACGAGAAAAAACGAGGTATTAAATGTAAAAACTTGTTTTCTCCAACTGAGGCCTATTTTTGTGGAGGCGTTGTGTAACCGAGCTGGTTTTTGTTTCACGTAAAAAAATCCCCAGGTGATCGAAAATAGTCCCCAGTGCTTTGCTGGGGACTATTTTCGAAGGCCCTCGGTTATTTTTGCCCATAAAACAAACTAGTGATTAGAACATAAACCGATTCCAATTTGCTTTAGGTGACGATGTTTTCTTACGGTAGAATTAAAAGCGTTTAGAAAGAAAAGTATACCTAGAGTTCTATAACCCTCATAAAAACTATCACATATGTTTCTAATGTTCATGTTTTGTTATGGTGCACCAAATTTTCCATTGATCCCATACCATGTAGACGACTATTTTTCTCGTAGTTATTACCGAGTTCAGTCGTTTCATGCCGAGATCAGAAAGACCCAGTTTAATCAAGATACCTGAGTTTTTTTGTCTCGTACTCCTATATATAAGATAATAGTAAACTTTCATTATGACAAACATATATCTTCATCACGCGCTTTTACCCTAGTGTAGATTCAACTTGGGAAACTCTTAAAATTTGAGTTATCCAGGGAATCTCTTCACATGCATTTCTATCATTGTTATAAAATTAAACTGAATGTAAGAGTAAGAAGGAGAAGTTCAAAAATAATTAAATAAAACATAAAAAGTTTTTGAAGAAGTTTTAGGAGAGTACATATGTAAATGTTGATATTCAGTATAACTATGAAAAATAAAAGCAGAAGCGAAGAACTACCAAGTTACAAGTGTTTATAACTAAAACATAAAATGAATCCTAAAATTTCGGCTGGCATGTATAAATAAAAATTATAACAAGTACTCTATATTAAAAAATCCACAAAACAGATTGAAATCGCGTTTTCTAGTTCATCGAACCCTTCGTTCAATAAATCAATAATTGATCAACATCTACGCAACTGAAAACGCAGAAGGAATAGACTAACAGGCGCAGTTTTTATTCCTTCACGGTTGATTGCAAAACGAAAACCATCAAAACCCAATCAAACGGCTAAAACGACGCAATTTGATTTCCGAATTCTAAAAGACGTAAAATGAGTCTCCTTCCTACAAAAGTCAATCTAACTCTTCGGTGTTTTGCATACCCTTTAAACTCCGATTCAATTTCCCAAGCTCCACCGCGGCCGCACTCGTCCCTCGTGTTTGTCCACATCCTTCATTTTTATTTGCCGATTCAGGCGCCTCCTTCATAGAGCGAGCCGAAGTTCCCGCCTTCGGAAATTTAATTTCCAACCGAACACTGGGCCTGCATCTGAAATATGCCCGATCCGCTGCCGCTCCCCAGACGTGTGCTTCCGCGGCTCATCGAAATCAGATTTGAGATCCCACACCGGATGTTCTCACACGTCTTACTATTCCGTTGGCTCGTTTTTTTTTTTCTTTTTTTTTTGTGTGTTTTTTTTAAAGATTATTGCGAGTTGCTGCGGTCGCTGTAGCCTTTTTCTTTCCGTTATAAGACGTGACGTGCATGCATCAACGCCGCTGTCAGCTTCAGGGAATTCGCATGATGGAACGCACAAAGTCAACAAATATCGACGAAATTCTCTTACCGTGCGGCTGATATTGTCTCAATATTTGAAATTTCGAATGAAAACATGCATAGTCGCCGACACACCTTCACGCTTCTCGCTTCGTGATTTTTTTTTCGGCGTTTATATTAAGTAATACAATAACCTCACAGGGTACGAAGAGATGATAAGATGGGAACTCGTGATGCCTCGCGTTTCTTGAGTTGTCATTGACTATAGCTGGACACGTGTGCCGAGTAGCTTTTGAAACTTTTCTTTTTGTGTTCTGACTGCTCGTTTTGTACGGTCCTCATCACCATTAGTCTCCATAGCGGTAGGCATTTTCAATATCGCTCCTCGCCCCTCTTCTGTAAAGGATAGGGAAAGAAGACTCTGCCGCCTTAAAACTGTTGATTAAAGTAACTGGTCGACCCGTAGTAACGAAACGATCGGCAAGAAATTTGAAACTAAGCGTTAAATAAGAGCAAGAGGCGTCTTTTATTTATTTTCACAAATAAAGTGTCATGCGTGATCCTCTGCCATATTGTGTAAGAAAAAGGCAAACCGGACAAATGTTTTGAGGCCTCCACAAGTTTATGTAGTCTCGCATAGTAGCAGTAAGACGACTTAAAACTGAAGTTTAGGTAAGCCTCAAAACAGCTGTTTAATTTTTTTTTAAACTATGTGAGGGAGGGTCACTAGCACATATAGATTTGTAACAATGAATCCAGGGTGCTTCTTGATCTTACTCAAAAAATTGTAACGCAGATGTGCGCAACTTTTATTAATATCTACTAAATTGGGTTAAGTGCACCTTAACAAATAGAATATGTAGAGTGAATTGATCCTAATTACATCTGACTATATATTGCCTAGTACATGACCGAGAAGGAAAATATCTTTGTAGATTTAAAAGATTCGTGTTTATTCTTACTCCGAGCGTAAAAGATAAGTAAGCCAGAATGACTTTGCATAGTCAGCCTCGCCCTAGATCGCTCCAAAACTTTCTAGGTCGAATATTCAAGAGACCGAGTGTAGCAGCTAAGGAGCTGAGAACGGTCTTGCGGATTCACTGATGCATTCACTCTCGCGCCGACCAGCTGTCACGACGACGCAATGTCGCTCGCTGCTGTCGCCGTCGACGCTCGCTGCTTCTTTCTCGAAGTTTGTTCTTCTTTTTGTTTCTAGCACTAGTTCGCCGATGAAACGTTTTTCAGTTCATTATTCGTCTTCTTTTCGCCTTCATTCGTGACATTTCTGCTAAAGATGTGGGGCAAGAATAAGCACAAATCTTGTAGATGTACAAAGAAGCGTTCCTTCTCAGTCATGCACGCTGCATTACAACTGAAAATGAAGGTTTAATCGGCGAACATGTGCTAAAAACAAGAGGAAGAACAAATGTCGAAAAGGGAGCAGAGAACGTCGACGGCGACAGCAGCGAGAAACGGTACGTCGGCGTAACAGCTGGCTAGCGCGAGAGTGAATGAAATAATGAATCGACAAGACCGCGCTAAGCTCCTTATTTCCTACACTCCGTCTTTGGAACATTCAACCTAGACAGTTCTGGATTGAGCTAGGGCGAGGTTGACAAGTCAAGGCCACTCTGGACTTTTTAACTCTTGCACTCGGGGTAAGAGTAAGCACGAATCTTCTAGATGTACGAAGAAGCGTTTCTTCTCGGTCATGCACGCGGCATTGCTCTCCCATCCTGATGGTCGGGTTTCGTCATAGGCTGGCACGTCGACGGGAGCCCGCGGCTGGAAGGCCTGATGCACTTCGTCTCGAACGACCTGGCCTAAGGAGACCGAAGCCGGGCGTTCGGCAGTAGGAAGCAGCTTCTTGAGCTCATTCCTGATGATGTCACGAATAATCTCGCAAATGTTCGATATAATAGGGCCAACGTAACAGGTTGACGTCAGCGATACACCGACTCCAGGTAGTCGCTGGTAGTGTGAGGTTCGTGCCTGCCGGGCACGTCCGACGTTCGTGGCCTCCGTGACTTATCGCTTGACGGTCGGAGGTGGACTGCGTACAAGACCCCCAAAATGTTTACTTTGGAACATCTTTGGGTGTCTCGCTTCTTTCTGCTCCTTTCTTTCTCTCCGTTTATTCTTCCTTTTGTTTCTGGCACAAGTTCGCTGAAAAAAATTTTATTTTCAGTTCATTTTTCATCGTCCCTTCGGCTTCATCCTTGACAATCTTTCATTACATCCTTTGAAGATAAAGGACTAAATGCCTGGACGAGTAAAGTGGACCATCCACAACGTAGAAATGCTATGTGCCATTTTATAGAAATATCAAGTTACACTGCGGTATGACATTTATGCTAACGGAAGTACCCCAATCTTAGTACAATTTTTGTTCAGTTTAAAACTAAGTTCTTAAATCACAATGTATTCCATTTTCAAGCGCTGACGTTCCTATACTCTAAAATATATAATTTCTTCTTGCTAAGAGATACGGCATGGTTAGATCGATCGATAAAAAATGTGGCACGTGTTGGCATGTTTAGAAATTACATAGGTTGCTAAGTATCATAAAGAGGTTTGCGTGCAGTGTAATGAAGAAAAAAAAAGTGTTGAGTCGTTTTTGGCCTCGCAGAGCTTCAAGGGTCCTTGGAACTGCGGTCAAAGACTGCGGCACGCCCAGGACCTATTAAGCTGAGACGTGACGCGCGCGATCGACCTGTCAGGTCTCTAACGACCCAAAGTGAAGATGAAGTCAACACGACGTCGGCCTGAGCCGCCCACGCTGGCGCGCAACGAGCGCTTCTCCTTGAGTGGCCGGAAGGCGCTGCTGGCTGTCGGCTTTCACGAGATTTGAGAGCAACCCTCAAGCCCACTCATTGAGGAACCGCGGCAAGGCTTCCGCTTAACTCCGCTATTTCAAGCGCCGAAACCACGGATTCTACATGTTGCCATTGTGGGGTTAGGAGCAGTCTTCAGCAAAACGAACGACCCCTTAGCTATGGCAGTTTATGCCGTGGTGCGAAACACGAATGTTCATTCATTCCCTCGTGGAAAGCAACGTAGGTCTGACTCTGACCCCAGCGTATTCCGCACAGATACCTGAAACCGCATCGTCGAACGAGCTTTTTATATTCTTCGCGACTGTAATTTGAGATTAAAGCGTGGAGTGCTTTTAGCGAAACACCCAATTCCAGAAAATTGTCCGTCCGTCCGTCTGTCCTTCTCTCCTTGCATTTTCCCGCCAAATGTAGCGGGAAAATTGACGTCATGTGACGTCAAGGTGTCCCCGGAGAACGGGACAAAGCTCCGTGTCGTCACGTCAGAAAACCGCGTTCAGTGACGTCGGGTTTACGTCCTTCAACGTCCCCACTAAATTTGGTGAGGAAATTCATCGGAAATTTGCCCGTTAAATGTATCGTACAAATTATCGTTACGTGATTTCACGTAACTTAAT